CAAGAGGCATGGATTCAGAATAAGACACTCAAAGAGAATATAGTATTCACTAATGAATTGAATGATGAATACTATGAACGAGTGCTCGAATCGTGTGCTTTAGTGCCAGACTTGGCTCAACTTCCGGACAGAGATCTGACAGAAATCGGGGAAAAAGGTATCAATTTGTCCGGCGGTCAGAAACAGAGGGTTTCAATGGCGAGGGCTGTCTATTCCAACCGAGATATCTATTTACTCGACGACCCGTTGAGGTATTCATGAGTATATAATTAAAATTGTTTTTTAAATATAATTGGATTTGTATAGCGCTGTGGACACACATGTGGGCAAACATTTGTTTGAAAAAACAATCGGTAGAAACGGTTTATTAAAAGACAAAATAAGGATTTTGGTTACAAATAGTGTCACTGTTTTGCCAAATGTGGACCAAATTGTTGTCATTAAAAACGGGCACATTTCTGAATCGGGAACACTTAAAGAATTAATCTCAACAAATGGTTATTTCGCTGAATTTGTGACCGAATATCTGTTGAAACAGACGGACAATGATCTCGAAAAGAAGGACAAAGAAATGATCGATGAATTGAGAAAACAAATGAAACCAATGAATGAAAAATCAAATAAAAAAGTTATTTGTCAATCGATTGACGGATCTGTTAAATCAGATTCGAGAAACGATGGCATCAGGAAAACAGAATCAACCAAATCATCGCGTATTTCAAATGAAAAGAGTAGTCAACACATTAGACGTGAAAATATTATTCAACAAAATCCGACGATTAAAACGTGTGGAAAGTTAACCCAAATCGAGAGCTCAGAGACGAGTTCTGTTGGACTTAGAGTTTACAAAAAATATATTTATTTAATTGGTTTGTGGTTTTGTTTTGTAATTATCATTACATCAATCGATACAATAATGGCTCAGATATTATCGGGCCTTTGGCTGAGCGAGTGGTCTGACGACTCTCTGGACGCCAATAAAATAAATGACACAAATCTTCGTTACGTAAGACTCGGAGTTTACGCCGGAATCGGTGTCTTTGATACAGTTTTCAATATAATAGCAAACATATGCATCAGTTTGGGGTCTATTAGAGCTGCGAAACAATTGCATCGCCTTATGTTAAACCGGATATTGAGAGCTCCTATACTTTTCTACGGTATGGGTTTGTAGTGATTATTCGCTGAATTTATTTTTAAAAATATCTGTTTTTTCAGACACGACACCCATTGGAAGAATCCTGAATCGGTTCAGTCGAGACATAGATGCGGCCGATGTTTCGCTTGTATTCAGTCTCCGAATGACAATATCACTGGTTTTACAGCTATTCGTCGCCCTATTTATGATTAGTTTGAAGACCCCTATAGTATTGACGGCAATCATTCCCTTGTCTTTCATCTATTATTACATTCAAAAGATATATATTCCGAGTTCTCGTCAACTCCATCGCATCGACTCCACCACTCGTTCCCCTATTTATAGTCATTTCAGTGAAACAATTAGCGGCGCCTCAAGTATTAGAGCGTATGGAGTGTCCGATCAGTTCATACAGGAGTCCAATAGACGGGTCGATGAAAACCATATGTGTTATTATACATGCTTTATAGTTAGACGATGGCTGGCCATTAGGTGTGAATTCTTGGGCTATTGTATTGTATTTTTAACGGCAGTATTTGTTGTCATTAATCGACACGAACTAACGCCGGGTATTGTGGGTCTCGTTATTAGTTATTCACTTAATATAACGAGGGTTTTAATTACATTTGTGATGTCGGTGTCAGAACTCGAAACCAATATAGTATCGATTGAGAGATGTCTTGAATACACAGAAACTTCGACAGAAGTAATTAAAACTTAACTTAAATACTAAATAAATAATTAATTTGGTTTATTCATCCATTTATAGGCCGAATGGTATAATGATGTAACAAAACCATCGCCCGATTGGCCGGAAAGGGGAGAAATAAAGTTCAGTGAATACAGCACTAGATATAGAGAAGGATTGGATTTAGTGCTCAAAAAGATTACATTAGAAGTTCGGCCCA